AGAGAGAGAGAGAGAGAGAGAGAGAGAAAAAGAATCGTTCCTCGGAAATTACCTTGCCTTGCAAGAATCTTCAGAAATACAAACACAAGTTGTCTCAGGTGGTGAACACGTACCTCGGGATGCTGCAACACAGTGAGATGGGCACGGTCGTTTAACACCAGGCCGTTTTAAAATTTATTTTACAAATTGGCAAACGTCGCCCGAGGCTACGGGGAGCGAATCTAAAACCTCGGCTCCTCTCTCGGATGTCGACCGGCCGGTTCATTCCAGCGGCTTTTCTGGCTGTTGATCGTTCAGATCCCTCGGGGTAGATCGTATTCAAGTGCTCCGTGGCTAAATTTAGCGGCAGGATAATTTACCGGATTCTGTTGAACGGCTCTTTTACGAGTGTTCGCCTTCTTCTCGGCTGGACACGCTTGCCACGGTGACTTCCGCGATTTCTCTCTCTCTCTCTCAATTATCGACCTTCGAAATCCAACCACCCCCTTCTATTCTCCGTCTGCGTTGCACGCTCGTCGGCGTCTCTTGGTTGAATTTGAAATTTCCTTTCGGCGAAAAAACCGTGAAAAGAACTTGAACCGGTTTTTCGCCGAGGTATAACGAACGTAGCCAGCCTTCGTCGGGAAACGAGGTACACACTGTACGTGCGTAGATATGTACATACAGTGTCTCAGGTGAATCGGTCGATATTACAGCTTTTAAAAAGGCGATTTCATTCGATGGTTTCAGATGATACAGAGGACTTGACGTCAGTTCGCAACGTTGGATATTTGGAACAGACGGTGGAAATATTTTGTAGATTTTCAAAGTCGTTTCGATCATATAAGTCACGAAATTATTTTTTAATCATTTTTTTTTTTTTTTCTTTATACATACTTGCTACGTTTTGCGAATTACAAAAATATCTATAGTACTATTTACATGTATACCAGGTCATTCGTCTATTTAATTTCAATGCTATCGTCTATTTTCTACCGTTTCAAGGTTAGATTATCCTGTTAAAGTAAATTCAGAATTTAGTTAGAATTTGGTATAGAAAATGGTAGATACATTTTGATTAAGCAGCATAAGTTGGTTCAGCTTCATGAAACATTCTGTGTGCGCACATCGAATTTAACATGTTCCGTTTACATGTCTGTGTAGGGTTCATTCGAGGGAATTCTCCCGAAGAGAAATTATATTTTTCCCTGTGCTTCTATGAGATTCCAATGGCGTATTTTGAGCGTTTCGTATCCGGCTCGAATGAGCCGAATGTTGAAGTACAGCGAAACTACGGCTAGAATCTTACGTTGCGCCACTCGTCGAATTATTCTCAGTCGACGGGTTTTCCCTTTGAAAGACGAACGCTCGTTTTAATGAGCCCATGTCGTGTAAATGTAAAGTTTGTTGCTCATTAAGCGGATTGGATTACTTTACTACCGCGTTGAATGTTGAAACTCGTGATAAAAATGAAAAACTGATACCTGAAGAATTGGAATATACGACGATTGAGGAACGAATCTCCGCCTCCGTTGTTAAAAATTTTTGGTAAAGTGCAACCAGAGACTTTTCATAGCAGTCAGGAAAATCAAATTTCTGCATACGGTTATTTATTTCTGACAAAAATGAAACGACAAAGATTTTATTTAGAGTATGCTCATAAGCTAAGGCAGCTGTTCTAAGGAAAACATTGCGTGCGTATCAACGTAAAAAGATCTAAAAGTTAATATTTCATGTGTCACAATTCATATTTCAAAACAGGAAATGCTTGTACTTGCATTTGACGAATTCTTCTTACATATCGCGCTATTTCGATCGCGATTAATGTTTTCCAACTGGTTGTTAATCAATCTACGCCCGTTCTACTTCAGTGATTTCTATCAACATTTCGCAATACGTACATTTTGAATCACGGGAGTATCGAGGCTCCGACAGGCTTCACTATCACAAGCGTTCGAGACTACTTGTTTAGCATAAGAAACGGATATATTAGCAAGTATATTAAAATAAAAATGTTTCATTAACACAAAGCA